GCTAAATATTCACCAATGAAATACTACGAAGCTTCGAAGTGATTTATGGTTTGTTAAAGAGAAGGACAGGAACAATATTTTCTGAACTTGTACGTTTTGATGTAGGGAGGAAAACCAACTGGCAATTGTAACGATACTCTATTCTTACAGTGTTTTAAACAGCTGAAATATTTCTCAAAATATCACGATTTTATAGCACTCCATACAAACGCATTCGATTTTAAATTATTACAACGTGCATGGAATACCTCGCACTTTCTTTATTTACAGAAAGATCATTCAGTACAGGGCATGGTTTAGATCCATAGAATTAAGTTTTCATTTATCGTTGATTCGAACAAAATTTTCAGTCCAATTTTCTGATATAGAAATTCTGGATTCAAACGAAGCATATCAGTGATATGTAACAGTAGATATCTAATCGAACTGATGTTGCCTTACAATTGCTAATTCGTAAAATCACCATGTGTCTTAAGGACGTTGCCTTTTTAGCGTGATTCATAGATGTTGTTAAAATGAATCGACGGGTGTTTCATACTATGAATAGAACGGGAACTAACGGACGAACGAATAGGCGTTGCTGGTTATTGAATGCAGGTAATCAGTATTTCAGAAGAAAAAAGTTCTGCTAGTTAATTGAAAGTTACAGTTGTTTCTCGATACTCGTGCAAACAAGACCGATAAACGTGCTACTGAGTTTCTCCATTTCACTGAGTCACTTCATTCACACCTTTAACAATATCAACGCACAAACGAGTAGAGGTCAGGGACGGTAGTTCAAGTGCTCTATGCAACTTCGACAGTTCAAACAACAGTTGTCCCTGAGGAGAAAAAGGAAATTATCGAAATATCGCGACATATCTTACCATGCGTTCGAAGTAACCGCGTCGCAAAGAAATTCGTTCGTCCAATCTTAAAGTGATCTGGTGCCTTAATTAGCAGGACTGAATAGTCTTAACAGTAAGAAACTAGTCAGTGATTCGTTAGCGCTAATCTATTCGCTAACGCGTGTACAGGGAAAGAAGCTGAAAGGAAACGAAGTGATGAAGGCAGAAACTAAATATGGCATGACTAAAAGATGGGGAGAAGGGAGACGGTAGGATCGGGCTATGAAGAATGAGGCTGTCTAGTCCTAAACTCTTTGAGACCTTACGCAAGGTCAACTCGGCTCGTTAGAATTTTAAGTAGAAGTTAAAAATGGAAGCGAAACGGAGATACAAACCAAAAGTCTTGTAAAAAGTTAGCGAATGATGTTGTTAGGAAGGCTTAATGTTAGGCATAATTACATAATCGATTAAGGTAATAGGAAAATAAATTAATATTATTGATATTATTATTATTATTATTATTATTATTATTATTATTATTGTAATCACCATTATCTTCATCGTCATCGTCGGCATCGTCATCATTATTATTATTATTATTGTCACCATCACCATCATCGTCATCGTCATCAATAAGTATTATTAATTATTGATAATATTATTGTCATTCTTGACTATTCATTATTGTTCATGTACTTAACGGTGAAGCGAAGCGTATACGCGATTTCGGCTGAATTTTACTGTCAAGCGAACAATTCTCCGCCACGATCGACGGAAGGATGAAAAGTTTCAAAAGTTGAACCGCGAGGGTTGCGTATTCTCGTTTATGCGCATTACGATCCTTCCGAATATCCTGTACTTGTAGGATTAAAGGTTGTAATATATTGTCTGTTATCTTTAATAATATCAATATTATATACTCTATCGCTAGGTTAACGAAAGGAAGAAGCAAAGTGAAATATATTGTCTCTAAGAGAGAGAGAGAGAGAGAGAAACACAAGAGAGACGAAAGCGTCTTGATCTAACGATAGATCGTGACTATTGTTGTCTGTTGCTTTCGCACATCATCTGGACTGTTCGCGAGGCGACGAAACACGAACTTTGATTACCGAAAAATTGAAATGACAAAAAAAAAAACGAAAAAATCGAAATAAAATCTTAGTTTTCAGAAGACAACGCATTCTTCACTTGCATCCCCTTTTTGCATACTTCTTCCGTTCGAGCGTTCCGCCGCGTGCGACACGTCGCGACGAGGCGAATCCAGCGACGCGTTTATTTGTCGCCGTTGCTTACGAGTCGTTTTGCAACTCTCCGTCGCTTCGGACTTCTGGAACTCAAGCTCGTCGTTTTCTCCGGCTAAAGATAATCTTAATGGCCTTGCGGAATTGGACGCCGAGCGTTGCAACGGAGCGCAAAAACGAGCAAAGGGGAAACCGCCCTCGACGTCTAAGTCAGGCAGCCCGCGACGACCGAGTAAAAATAACCAGCTGTGTCCTCTCTGGTAAAATAACTCTACGATTTGCCTCCCTTTGCGGATCTTCGTAGAATAATTGTTACTCTTGCTCTTTAAAGCTGCGGCGCGCTTCTATGAAACACGTTTAATGGAGAAGAATCATTTTTCTTCTGGAGCGTTACGTGATTACAGTGATTTTGAAAACGTTCTAACTCTTTGAAGCACAGAATTTTAAGACAAAAGCAGACTCTAGTTGCACGGGAATTTTATTTTTAAAAAATGTAACAAAGTAGGTATGAATTACGAGATGAAACAACTAAAACTTAAGAAATAATGTTGAGATAATTAATTATTAGGTGGGACATAAATAATCTCACCGTGAAATTTGTGAATACTTTGTTTTCTTAATTCATCCCATGGTGAAAACATCCCACTGTGCATATGTAAGTACTGAAAAGGTGGGACACTTTTTACCACACTATGCCCCAAAGAGTTAAACAGGTATTCTCTCGTAAAATGAAGAAAACTGTTCGTTAAGAATGAAGGAAAGAATAAGAATATTTTTTGTGGAGTGAAATAATTTTCTTAATTAGAACTTTCTTTTTTAAAACTCTTTCAATTGAGCTAGTGTTTGACAACGTGATATTTAATTCTGTATACAATTTCAATGAAATTTTCATTCGATTTCTTTTATTCCACTGCAGTCCTTTGATTTTCTACTGTACTGTAAGGTGGTATCATATCTAGTTAGCTGGAATCATTTTAAAATACAGCCGAACCTCAAGGAAAGAGTTAAAATCTTCGAGTTATAGCGGTTTCGACTTATCGAAATTTTTGAGTGAAGGAAATTTAACAAACGAAAATTCGACATACAGAATCTTTGTACGAAGGTTGATCATTTTCCAATTGTAACAGCTTAAGGGGGTATTCTAGTCTAGACGTATCAAAAAAATCGATTTCTTTTCGATTTTTCCGAATTCGTAAAATTGACGAAGTTATAGATGGTTAAAGTGGACGACATGTAGTCCGTAGTCGTAAGTATACTATTCTCATGTAACTGGTATGAGAATCTTTAAACGCGTCTTTCTCGAAACAATGTTTTTCTAAATGGCTGACATGATATCTCAAGTTCTAGTTGTCCGATTGGCTCCAAATTTTACATGCACCTTCGGTGAATATGCCGTTATCGTCTGAACCAGAGTTATGCCAAAATATATATTTTTCTGATTTTTAGAGCCTCTGAAAGACGAAAAAAAGTCGACAAAATCGATACACAAAATTCAAAGTGCTGTCATTTTGTAAATTTTCACTATTTTGTTTTCATTCTGGTTCACACCATAGTCACAGTCGTACCAATCAAGAATCCTTTTGGTTATTTCATTTCGGATAAACAGAATGGGCGGAATCGTGTCAGGACACATTTTTTTAAAGGGACCGCACTGAATGATATACGATTCAGACAGTTTTGATTATTTTCACTTGAAAAAAATTGTCAACTTTCCTAAGACACGAATAAATATGTATGCAAAATGTCGACTCTGAGAAACTTATACTTTCCTTACAAAAAATCCCTAAGGACTAAAAAATGACACTCTAGACTAGAATACCCCCTTAGAGAAAGAAAAATTCATTATTTTAAAGTGAATTATTTATTGTATAAATATATAAACGTAACCATAAGACGAATGCCAGATTATTATATTTGTTATAAAGGAGTTGAGAAAAAGGAGACAACATCGAATGATTGGTTTCTGACATCTTCTAACACAGCTGTGAACGAGTTGCAAAGGCAACGGCGATAGAAGTTCGGCTTGTAGAAGTCTGGCTATTCTAAATTTGCATTACAGAGGTAAAGTAATGCATCTGGACATGTGGCAAATAATTCGAGTTAAAGTAAGTTTTATTTTGACTTATAGAGGTCTTCACAGCGGAGCGGAAGGGAATGAACAAAATTGTTACATGTTACGTTTAATTAGTTTACGATCGACTTATTCTCTCCTTACTCTCGAGAACTCTCGAGAAATCAAGAATGCGTACATTTTTGTATCAAAATTTGAAAGAGCAGTAAATGTTTTATAAGAAAATTATAAAATATAAAAAACAGAAAATAATTTATATAAAATTATAAATTTTTGAATTTTCTATAAATTATACGATTATTAGAGAGAGAAATCAAAATCAAGCTACAGAATGGTAGAAAAGTGGACCATTTCTGTCTCTAATCAACAGATTGCACAGGAGTATGGGAATGGATAATTGTCAACGATCCGTGGTATGTCAGGAATGAAGATCTACGAAGAGCTTTAAAAATCCCAACCATTCAAGAGGAAATTAGGAGAAATGCGATGGAACATAAGAAAAGTGTTACACGACATCCTAATCAACTAGTCCTGCAGACGTATCAAGACTAGATCAAACGGAGGCTAAAAAGGAATTCATTGCCAGAAGAATTTACCGAATGTCCAACAGAACAAATTGTAAAGAGAAATAGTTGATATAAAAAGAGGGTGTATGAATGTCAATGGGTACCACTTTTAGCACCAAGAGTAATTAAGGTAAGCAGTGGGACTATGAATTTTTGTTTACTTTATTTTATTTGGTTTAGGACAAATAAAGCTTGATACTTTCTTATAGGAAATTCACTGGCTTTTTAAATTTTAATACAAAAAGGTACGCATTCCATTTGAAAAATTTAAGGTTTACTTGATATCTTATAAACAAATATTTCAGCCTCATATGTTTCCTTCGATATGGCGCAATTTACATATAAAACACATTTTTGTAGAACACGTACTTTCAAAATTATTCGTAGTGGACGGTAAGTTATGTGATTTACCTTGTATTAGTAGATTGTGGGCGTTAAATACTGCACTATCAGTAATTTTTCGATAATACGAAGATATGAAGATATTTCAAACGACCAATATTATCTGCTACTGTTACAATACACGTATTTATCTACCTACATAACTATAGTAATATAAACATAAGAGTAACTTCAGGAATATTATCCGAAAGTACGAAAATTGGCGTCAAAGTCAACATTAGAATCAGTTTGAGTGCTTATTTATCAGAATGGCTGCTTAAAATTAGTTTGATAATCTTGAAAACTTGTATTGCATGCTTAAAAGCAATTTTTTATACGTTTCAATTGGCAGGTAAGATATCTTTTGTAAGTACATTTTAGCGACAATGCATTTTTAAGGGTCATCTGTCGTCGAGTCACTTGAGAAAAGAACTTTATCGTACTTGCACTAAATTACAATTGCAGTAAATTCTCCACAAGTGTCAGTCCGCAAGGAAGCTAAACCTGACACTTGTAGAGCCAGGGACTACGTTTTCGAGCCTCGCGCCCGCCTTTGTAGTTTGCCGAACGTAGACAAGGACAGCGAATAAAAGATAAGGATGAAACGTGAGTCGAGGCAACCAACTTTTAATTAATAAATACCAACTTTTTTAATTTTACGTTCTTTTATCCCGAAATTTTTCTTAACATACTGATGAGATTTTTCTGATGAAAATGACATCTTCACTGTCACGTCAAACAGCAGACCTAGGCGTAGAATGACGCAGACCTAAGCGTAGGACCATCTATACTGACACTTGTAGAATCCAAACTGACTGACACTTGTGGAGAATTTACTGTATACTGAATTTGTATAATTTCTTTGATTACTGGATAGCAACTGCTCTCCTGCCATTTCTTTGTTTGTTTTATATATTTATTCTCAGTGTTACGTGCGCCTGCTATCCGTGAATAGCTTATCACCAAGATAGAAGCAAGAATGTAGTTAACCGCCAAGTACGGAGCTACGAAATAACAAGAGATTAATTGTGTAGGAAAACTTGCTATGAACCTTCAAAGGATAGCGACTGCTCTCCTGCCTCTTTTTGGAGCTATATTTATAAGGTGTTTTCGGGAGTTGTGGGTGGGAGAAACCAGGAATGCATCCATAAGTGTAAGAAAATCCGTTCCAAACACTGAAGCGAGTCACTTGAGAACTGGTCCAACCTATACATGTCGGGGTCACTCGCCTCTTCGGGTATTTCCTGGGTCTGCTCCGCGCGGGAAGCGTACGAGGATCAGACAGGACGACGAGACGCGTCCTTACCCTTTACAAGACCACCGGAAGACTTTGGAGAACGACGCTCAAACCGCGCGACCATAGTCTTGTAGAATATACATAAAGTAAATACTTATATTTGCGAGAATCTAGGAGCGATTGAGTAATTTTGCGTCCACCCTATTTTTATGTGATTGAACCCAGTACCACCGTAACTTCCAATTGTTGGAAATCATATAAAATGACGCGATAATTCTTAAAATTTTGAATTGCACGAAAAAATATGCGAGCCACTGTGTAATGAATTACTATAACTATTTAAAAGAATTACACCAGTTGAAGAAAAGTATAAGCTCATTTATATAAAACAGTTTATTTAACGTAACATTGCAATAAAAGACAAGTGAAAACTTGAATTTACTTTTTCTCACACGTTTCCTTTCTAATTATTGCACTAATCGCTAGAACTGTTTTAACTATAGAGGAGGAAGTGTTCAAAGAAGCATGTGCAACAGTAGTTCCAATATTGAGGGCGATCATTACGTTTCATTGTATCACGTTCATCTAAATTCTGAAACTGTCTAGAAACTGTCGCACCAGCTGACACAATTTTGCGAGCATTTCACAATGAAAATCCAATGTGAATCGTAGAACGACGTTACACCTGCTTACTCGCAAAAATTCACAGAAGTATGTTGAGGAAGTGCCAAGATTTCGTTGGATACTTTTAGCTGAATTAATTATTTTTAAATTCGAAATATTTAATTATCTGTATTTGCCCCCAACATCGCAGTTCGAAAATTCGATTCCGACGTCCAGAATGCATAGCAGAATCGTACGCCATTCAGAGTACGAGTGTCGTCCCAGTATGTTACGTGAAAGTCGCGAAGAACTACTATCACTAAGCGCGACGTTATATGTGTATATTCTCTTCGTTTAACAGTAAAAAAGGGTAAATTTGAATTGCTAATTTGAGAACACACATTTGCTAATTAACGAAACTTCGGACGCAATTTTGCAACTTTTGATTTTCGACCTAAAATGGCTTCAGGAATCGCCCCGCCAATTTAATACCAAAGATGGCCGAACAACCTTTATATGCGAATTACATAAAAAGTAGTATTTTTCGTGTATTTAAATACTACAATAAAGGAATGAATAATTTTAATCGTAGATGAAGCGAAATTATAATTTTCATCGAAATGTGTTCAATTCTTTCTCTAATTACAGTATACTGTAACAAATAACAACGGAATTTGGATTATTACGTTAACTTATTTACTCTAGATAAAGTATATGAAAATCTTATTCCAATGTTTATTTGTGCAAATTACACTAATTTGTTATATTGTTGAAAATGAATTCTGATAAATAAATAGCACACAGAATTAGTCCACTAACATGTGTGTTCCTAACCTAAAAAACAAACTAATAGGGTATATTACTTTGTTGTACAGGAATCATACTGAAAATAATATCCGTCATGATTTTACATTTATATACAAAATCTTGTTTATACAAAATGTTCGTTCGGATTAAAAACAGGTAAATGTAAAACTTTTCAAAACTTAATCATACTCTTCCTACATATTTGCATTATAGGAAAAATGGTGACTATTTTAAACATTTTCTATACTTATACTTACATTTCTATTCATTCGCGACAAAAGAAGAAGAGTGGAAGAAAATACGAAAGTTAGTTATGTACTCTGACGTTCATAAATATTAGGACACCCATTATATTCCTACAGAAAGTATTATACATACGATATAAATTACATTTCCTCGCCAAAGTTAGCGTGATATATTACTAAAAATATACATATGTATTCGTTATACTTCACAATTCCAGAATGAATAAGTTTTTGTTAGGATTTCAATAATTTTGTAAATGACTTTTATCAGTCAAATAATTTTACATGAAACTTATAATGACAAAGAAGGTTGCTTTTAGTAGATCTTCACAGGTTTCAAAAGATTTCAATAGATATTAGCAGAATACAGTAGATTTCAACAGAATTCAACAGATTTCAGCAGAGTTCAGTGGATTTTGGTAAATTTCAGCAGAGTTCAGTAGAATTCAGTAGACTTCAATACGCCTCGCATTCAGTAAGTGTTTCAATGCTCATGGAACCGGAGTGTAGATGATGAAGTTAGCGCAGACTGCAACCAAATGTGTTGCAGAATACCCTTGGTGGCAGTTAGTGATCGTGGGTAGCACAGTGATAAGATGTCAGCACCTGTGCTTCATTGATAATATAACCCATGAATGACGCCTCGCTTATTATTCGTTTTTCACGAAGAATAGTAGGGGAGCATTGCCATTGACACAAGAGCGAGCCTCAGTTATCCCGCGTTTATTCGCGTAAACTAGAGCGCTCACAGCGCTTAGTGATTTTTAAGTTACTTGACGGTCGAGGGAGGTCACGAAAAAGGGAAAGACTCGAGGATCGCGATCCAAATAGGACTCGCGACCTGGAAGTCCTTCCTGAGTCCATGCGGAAGCACGTGGCCTAAGGTCAAGGTGAGACTAATAGAATTCTCGCGTGCCTTTGCTTTCTTCGCTTCCTACTTCAACGTTATCTATTGTAATCGTCAACGTTTCTATCCGGATCACCTGTTCTCCACGGTCATCAACTATATAAGCGGTCGTGTGCTCCTATTTCCGATGTGTATCGAATATATCAAACTCATCTCATCGGTTCATAAACACGGCATTTGTCAATTACGCATTATGCTCCGTGGATGTAACGAATTTGTTGAATAAAAATTCATTCGATCAATGAGTCATAGTAAGTAATTATCAACCTACATTTTATCGACCGTCTTGACGATGGTTCCTTTGTCACGTGATGTCCAAGTGACTACATAGTTAAAAGACAGCGTAGCTAGGAAGTTACATTTTCAATGTAAACCGATATTGACAATGATCGCCTATTGTACCTACTCAAAATACATTTCTTCGTAATAATTCCTACGTATCATGTTTTGTGATCCTTCCTCGACTGTAGTTATCGCAATATCCTACCTAGGGGTCCAAATTTTCGTTTCATTTTGTCCCGTTGATTGAAACTGTTTCAAACTGATCGACCTGTGTCGCATTGGTCAATTATTCTAGAAATTCCGGCTGACCATTACATCATCGTTGAAGACATTTCTTTGTATCAACTATTGTCGGCAACTATTTACCGGGTCACTTCGATCTAACCGTGTTACACGAACGTATCGCTGCTTGACATTGACAGTGACATAACTGAAAAAATGTAAATTTCACAGGGGAAGCAGTTTAAAATTTGCATCTATCTGACTGATCGTGTCATCTGATCTGCTCTCCAATATGAAACTAACGAAGTTAGAAATGCACCGTTTCAGAGGACAAAAATACCGTATCCATGGATTCTGTCTGTGACGAAAAAATGAAAATTGACATTTTTCAAGTTATGCCACTGTCAATGCCAACCAGCGATAGAAACGGTTGACTTTCGAAATAGAAATATGTTCGCGCCTTTGTATAACATCCGACAAAATACAAGTTGGAGCTATTTTAACGCAGAAGCTAGCAATTCCTGTCAAATCATCCGAATCAGGTCTACTTTAACGAAATTAACGAATTTCCTTTCTGGCAGGAAACAATATTATCGTTGCACTTGATTCTTTCCGACTTCGATACTGAATATGGTATTTCGTAAATTTTTCACGCACAAAGCAAATGGTAATTTTTGCACATTTCTCGCTTCCGTGGCTAGCTCTGCTAATACGTCGATTTCTCTCCTTTACCTAAGTTTATAACGATGAAGTCAGGTCCACGATTCTTTGCATGCTTCTTGTACCACGACGAGACGGAAGTAACAATCGGCTGGAACTCCATATTAATGCAGTCTCTGAGCGTCACAACGAAATCTATACCCACTTAAATTGCAATTGCGCAATCATCTCAGGTGCCTGCGGTGCTCTCGGCAATTACCAAGCAGATCGTTGATAAATAAATCCATTAGGTTGGTTAACATTTAACGTTTACGCAAACAAAATTAAATACGCGACTGTATTTCTCTATTTTTACATCTGCCACTATATAAATCTGCTAGTTATCATAAGTTTCTAGCAATTAAGACGTCTTATATAGATACTGCTTGATCGTTTAATGCAACACGTGTTATCAGTATCTGAGTGTGAAATTAATTTGCTGATAATAGAATGCGCTTTACAAGGTTACTAAGTGTTGTTCAATTTTTACTTCCAGTTGACAGTTTTTCAGAGAGTAATTAGGTCTTTACAGTTTCGAGTCATTCTCTGAAATGAATAAAACTTACAGGTCCGTGTCTGTGATAAGAAATAGAAAATACCACAAGAGAAGTTCGCGTGTACACGTCTGTGTAACACCAGAGAACCCTTTGACTTCAGTTTTATCTTAAAAAACCTGTTGGAATGTTTCGTTTGTGATTTTTTTTTTTAAACACACGTATCCACCATGTGCTCACTTACGGGAGAACTTGAATCGTAACGTACTTCTAGTATCAATTCTTGGAAAAAATCGACGAAATATGGTTTACCCTTCGTGCGCATCTTCATTTTAACTCTTGCTCTCTCTTGGTCCCGTAATCGCAATTACCTAATTTACTCGTTCAATACTCTGCTTGCCGTTAATGAAACGGCAAAATTTCTTTCACGAGTAATTCGGTCAATGGAAAATTTGAAGAAGGTTCTAACTTTAATGGGAACATCGTCGAAGTGAAAAATTCTTTCATTGCGACATTCTGACAATTCTTCCACGGAGAATGAAACGTGACGCAAGGGAATGAATGCAGCTGTTTTAATACCTATCTTAATTGATATCTGATAAGTCACTTCGATAAGTAACGTTTCAGATTGTGCATTTTAAGAACAGTAGAGCGTCGATTATCCGAACCATCGGTTCGAGGAGTAAACAAACCTATGGTGTGCGGTACCGATTGATAAGTAAAAAATAAACTTTCTTAGTAAATGTATATTGTTACTTCAAAGCATGTTTTTTTTTTATAAAGTTATAAACTGGGCAAGTACACGCACATGTTTCATTAAGGGGGTCTTCTAGTGTGACGGTTTCAAAAGATCGATTTTTATTTTTTTGCAAATATCGAAAGTACAACTCTTTAAGAATGTACTCCTCAAGTTTTATAGTGTATTCAATAAAATAACGAAGTTATAGTTCGTTCAGTGTGACACATCAAAGGCCGGCGATAGGGAGAATGTAAATCGCACTGAAAACTTTAAACGCGTTTTCCTCAGAACCGTGTTTTCTGAAATGTTTGCCACGATTTGGCAAAAAGTACTGAACCAATCGAACTCAAATTTTGCACATGTCTTCAGAACATGTGCGGCTATGGTCGGTAGTAGAATTATGCCAAAATATATATTTTTCTGATTTTTAGAGCCTCTGACAGACGAAAAAAAGGCGAAAAAATCGATACTTCGTATTCAAAGTGCCGCCATTTTTTGAATTTTCAATATTTTTCTTTTATTCTACTGCCAACCATAGCGACATGCATTCTAAATAAGAATCAATTGGATTTTTTTATTTCTGATAAGCAGAACAGCTGAAATCATGGCAACCATAGACCTACTCTTTTTTTTTCATGCTCCTGTTTGACGTGTTCCACAGCAGCCGTATTTAATTATTTTTCAACAGAAAAAATTTGCGATGATTCTTCAAGGACAAGTAAATACACAGGAATAAATCTCATATTAATAACTTTTACCGTACTTCTGTAATAAATTAGCGAAGAAGGCCTAAAAGAACGGCCGTCACACTAGAAGACCCCCTTAAGTGGACTTGATTATAACAATTCGATTTTCCGAACCACCTCAGTCCCAATTGGTTCGGATAACTGACGCTCTACTGTATATCCATAAAATATTCCCGTGAAAATGACGAAGGACTAATTAGAACGGTAGCAAATCCGAACTGTTTCTGATGGTTAAACAATTACGCAGTCCGTAGTTGTAGATAACTGACTTATCACCATTGAAGGAATTCTACGGAAGACAGAAGTGTTTCGTGAAGAAATTCGTGCAATTATCATAAACGTGGTCTAATTAACTTTCACATGTTATTTCATTGCACTCTTATCGAGACGATACAGCTTTGTATTTTCCGAGTCGTAATTCAATTGTCGATACTTGTTGTCTTTCGGAAGAAAAAAGGGGATTGACTGATATCTATGCTTAACCGTTCGCCGCGTCTAATTATTGACATGAAATCTCATTGGCAAGAAAACAAAAGATATCTAAATTTCCACGGGGTATAAACGAAAGGCCTCTAATTGCTTGAAATAGCGTACACAAAAGTTTGGAATCACCGAGCATTGCGATTTACAGAAAAATTTCCAGGAAAAAGTCAGCGACTTTGAGAATTTTTTATCACTCGAATCAACTGATATGAGATAATTGGATAAAAGTAGAATTGAGATAAACTTCAAATCTATAAAAAGTTAGCCGCAGATTTAATATTGACGAAAAGTGGGAGGTGATTCGAAACTTTTGGCCAGTAGTCCATGTGAGTACAGAGCGTTCCGAAAGTAAAGATCGAGTTGTACCAGTATGTTTCACGAGCAGAGGTAACATATTTTAAAATGCTTCCTTAATAAATTATAAGTGGCAATTTTGAAATATCGACGTTTCCTCTTGACAGTAGAAATCCGACCTTAGAAAATTGAGTTCCGTGCTCTGCAAATTTCATGCTAATTTTGTCCAATTTCTTGAATTCATTTCAATTATTCTTCATTTGGAAATTTTCACGTCATTTTTCTATGAATTTGCACAAATAACAATAACTTTAAGAAAACATTCTTGAACCTTTCTTTACAGGGCATATTGGCGCAGTTTAATCGTTTAATTCTGAAACATCCCGTAATTTTTCGATCATTCAATATCGGGTTGTATTATTAAATCTGACACCTATATCTTTGATTTCACGAGAAAAATAAATCGGAGGAATGGAGTAGCACTCTCATACGTAGCTTTGTTTTCACTGAAAATTCGTGGAATTTTGATAACAACGTAATGCATGGAGCATAAAGAAGGAAACGAGAGACGTTTCTGAAAAACTGTCGAATTACTAACAAACAATTTTTAAGCAAAAACATTTTTGTTTTATTTCGTTTTTTTTACTGTCTAATATAATAAACATGAATAGCAATACATGTACGACGATGTATGTGTAATATGTTACTTTGCGGCTTATACATGTACAGAGTGTCCCGTAACGCCTCGAACGCCTGGAAATGGGGGGTTGCTGGGGTGACTCTGAACAACTTTTTCCTTTACCAAAATGTTGGTTGAAGCTTCGTTTTCGAATTATTAACGAAAAACACTGGCCAATCAGTGCACGCGTAGAGCCCGCGCACAGGCACGGGCCGAAATTCTTGCCGAACTCGCGTAGTACACGGTGGACCACCTCAATTATCTTCGTTTTCATTGGACCGATCAAATTTTTTTGTCACGGATGACATGATTTTAACCGTTTGAGTGCCACGAGCCTTTCTTATTGCCCGATCGAAAATTGCCAAGCGGCGCGATAGCGCTTGTCATATTCCGCGTCCAAAAATGCCAAAGAGCGCGATAGCGCTCGTCATATTCCGCGTCCAAAAATGCCAAAGAGCGCGATAGCGCTGTTTTCAGCTTACACGTAATAAATATTAATATTAATTTTATCTCTTTTTACTTAAGACTCGAGGGTAACCGTAAAGTCGTGCATCGAAAGAAATCGACCCCTCTGTGATTGTAGGCTTCGCAGCCTAGAGCGCTGGCGCTTTTAGGACAGGATAGAAGAAGCGCGATCGCGCCGCTTGGCACTCAAACGGTTAAAGGACCTTCAAGGTGTTGATCTCACATTTTTTCTGTCATTTTTTAAAATAAGTTTTCAAGGCCACGTTCAATTTTTTTATATGTAACCTAATACAGTAGTGCACGCATAAGCGTCCGCATTTTTGCACACTTAAGCGTCCGTCGCTGTCCCCACCAATTCTTGGAAATGAGACTTCGGAGTGGAGTTGGAGCGTGCCGAGTGAAACAAAGTAATTCGATATCGACTACTGAATGTGAACAACTGACACTCAGACGCATCTCCTCTCTTTTGTTTAGTTAAATTCGCAGAAGTCACCTCCCCACTTAAGGGGTCGGTCCCGACTGCGGACGCTTATGTGTGCACTACTGTAGTTTTTTTTCTGGTTAACCTTTTCGCTACGGCGCGTTTGTGACAAAATATGATCGCTATGAACGGAGCGCATTACTGACTAGTCGACACTGAGGTACGGAATGCTACGAAGTAATTACAAGTCGTTTCTTGTTCTCTAAATTTTACAATGAAGTTTATTATATTTAGTAATATCATTTTATTTTCTAAAATATAACTTTTTATTTAAAATATTACATTATAATGTTCATATAATATTTCTTATTACAATATAACAAAATTACTAAAGTATTTAAAGGCGATCACATAATTAATAATCAACTTTGGTATGATAAAGTTCAAAACGTGGAGCCACACATAAACCAACATCACATTGTGAACAATAGTATCTGGACTCACGTCTTTTTCCTTGTTTACTGCAGATGACACATTTTCGAACTTGATTTTTCTCTTTTGCCGCCTTATTCGAATATACAGACGGAAAATGTCTTTCAGCAAGTCTTTCAACATTGTTACTATTTCGTGTAACTAAACATTTCATATCTGATTTTTGTTTCCCATATGTTTCCAATATCTGTCTTATACGATTTAAATGAAATTTGGCAAACGATAATTTTGTCGCGAAAACAAAAAAGAAAGAAAAGTATATATGGTATGAACGTATATGTACGCTCTTCGTACCCGAGCGCCCACTTTTCGAGAGCGTATATATACGCTCTTCGTATATGAATGTTCATTCTTCGAGGGCGTATATATACGCCCTTCGGAGCGAAAGGGTTAAGCTATAAGCTAGCAGGCATTGAGACGAGATCAACGACCCCAATGTTGCATTGTTTTATGTATAAAATTTATACATAAAAATGAAAATTGCAAACTTATTTAAAGAAAGGACATAGAACAAATTTAAGGCCACTCTAAGGCAGGAGTTCCCAAAGTGCGGCCCGCGATGGCAGATCAGCCGCGATCTTGAATTTACAGAGATAATTTACATTTTTACAAAAAAATAAATATATCTTGCTATTATATAGATTGTATATATTTTATTGTCCTACCGGCCCGCCAAATATTCTCGAATTTACAATTTGGCCCACCTAGGCAAAACTTTGGGAACCCCTGCTCCAAGGTATCCTCTGTGACAAAAGAAATTTGGAGCTGTCTACTGGTAATGTGAATAATTTCGGTGGTCACGTTAGATGGACCATCCTCTGTATTCAAGAATGGAACCCCGTGAAATTGCTAAATATTGAATAGCCGTAGAAAGTACAAGAGACGAGGTGTACGACTGTTGCAGTGCAGTCGGAGGGATGAGCAAGGATTGTGGACTTTGTGGGATTTATCCCCGGTGGCTGCGAGATCGTGCCACTCCGAAGAGTTTTATTGCGGTCTATGGCCTCCTCGGCACCGTGCAAGCGATGGCTTTTATTTACATCGTCGTCACTCTCACGACTTTGGAAAAGAGATTCAAAATACCTAGCCGTACTACTGGTAAGAGTTTTACCTTCCTGCACGCTTTTCGGGATGATCGTTCGCTCTTAACACGTTCAGGACGGCAGCGAAATTCACGAAACGCTCACTACTGCCAGCGTTTCTTATCACCGAACTGTGTATTATCATTGATAATTAATTTTTTAATATGTAATTTGATCCACATCTGCTCAATCTTTTTTGCCATCATTTTGAACGACCCATCGATGGGTCATGTCAGCAAACAAGAGCATCGGTCACATCGTTCTGAACGTTTTAACGAGTTAACATGTGGCTAGTTGGCATTGATTGCGGTATAACTCAAAAAATGTCAATTTCATCGTCTGAAAGATTATACGATCAGTATTCGATCACTAGTCAAATGCAAATTTTAATCTGCTTTTTCTGGAAAATTTACATATCTGGAGTTACGTCACTATCAACGTCAAGCAGCGATGTTATAATTATTGTTCTTGCAACAGCAAACTTGAACTCACCTTACTAGCTTCAAGCGTGAATATTTTTATTAGTTTTAGGTCAAACAAGCTTGAATTATCCTTCAAATTGGTTACAACCGTTAATATTGTAATTCACTCGTCAAACAACGAAGTACAATGAATTTTACAAATACTAAGCGAAATATGTTCGCATTCAGATTTTTCAGAAGCCGCGCACAGTGCAGATGTGTATTTGATAACAGTGCGGTGTGCCTTTTTTAGTGTCTTCTTGCATGGAAAAATATGGAAAAAGTATTTACACACTTACAATCGTTACAACAATTTTACGGGTTCGCTACAGCGGAAAGGTAGCAATGCATGTACAGAAAAAAAATATTTCGCCGATATTGTAATTTTTGTTTCGTCGAAATAACGAATACATTTTTTCTTTATTTAAAAAAAAAATCGTCCGGCCAATAAATGCAATTTTGTTTAATTGTTTTCGTTCACTTTCCGTATTGCGTTGTTCTTTCGTATGTAAGTTTCGAGAAACTTATTTCTATACGCCCGGGAAATAATTAAAGAAAAATAAGGCTGATCATTTTTGGCACGCCAAGTTGGAAAAAATGTGACCGTTAAGGGGTTATTAACTTGAGACCGCAGCACGCTAAGTGTAAAATCCACAAGCCGCCGCAGGAGATAATTATTTACGTAAATGTGGCTACAATTACGAACGAATTGTTGAAATGTTGAACGTAAATTTCTCTACAGTGCTGTGTACGGTAAGAATATATCAGGCTATTGGTACTGTGGGAAGTAAGTCAAGATGAGGCGGGGAAACGAATTTGCAAGAAAAGCAACAAAAACTTTGCTTGCAAATGTCCAAAATTTACATACTGATATCGCACCAACATGTTAAAGTAGTATACTTTTGTTAATTTGTGTGGTAGAACAGTGAAAAGCGCTGCAACAAAGATAAAGAAAAATGGTCGGACACTTTCCATCATTCCTACAGATTCTATGAGCGTAACCAAGGCAATAGAAAGCATAAATAGTGAAATCAAACACGAAGCCATCCTAAACATCCAATATATTTATACGGACCTTGTCAATAATGGTAAACATGTAATCCTTGCCTGGGTTCCATCTCACCAGGGAATTAAGGGTAATGAGAAGGCTGACGCAGCCTCCCATCAGATGACATTCGGAGACGAATTCCACGCCAAGACCTCACTGCTGCATTACACCATATCGAACAGCAATCGTGGAATAATATTTGGAGCACAAAACACACGACGTAACCCAAGACTTCTACCAAACAGTGCCTAGCACCAATGTGAAAAGGAAGGACAGAATAATCATGGCTAGGCTTAGAACAGGACACTGCAAACTTACACATGAGTACCTAATTTAAAAAAACAGAACCACCAATATGTAACGTCTGTAAGCAAATTGTAACCATCTACTATTCGAATGCAGAAGATACCACACCGGAAGACAAAAATATAAAATAACATCGACAGCGGGCCTGACGTCACAGAAACACGTAGAAAATACCTTAAACTGTCTAAAGGACATAATATATAATCGGATAGAAACGAAGAAAACAAGACCTAGTCGTCGCAATTTAAATAAATAAATAAACTTTGTGAAACGTGTAATATTTAGTGACGAAAGTGAGTCAAATGCTTTTGGATTTCAAAGAAACAAATCCCTGAGAAGAAAGTGAAACGTGAAATTTCACGAGAAAGGTATTCGTCCAATTATTAAATCTGGCGGTAGATTACTGTTGGAAGTGTGTCATTTGTTTATAATACAAGGAACGCTCAACGTTATATAAACGTGTTGCAGAACAATTTATTTGCAGAGATGCTATCAGTAAAAACCAAAGTGCGGTTGTTGTATAATGTCTCTAATTGTTAGTAATTTATTACATCATTTCAATACTCGGATGTAAGTTCTGCACGGGATTTTTAGCTCGTACAAATTTGCAGATCAGAAAATGAAAAGAGTGGAATAAGAATGACTTGAAAATTGATTTTGTCAAGGAGTGGTTATATATTTGCGTACAAAATATCAGAAATATTTGGATGCGTGCAGAATATAAAAAATGTATTCGGTAACTGTGAATTGAAAAAAGTATAAATTCACCAAAACGACTGTAGTGTGTAAATATTTTCTTGACTACGAAATTTCTAGCCCTGCCTTTGCATTATCTTCAAACGTTGAATTACTAACATTTTTAATCGAGTATACGATATTCGTATATATGCATGTATCGATACTAAACTTAACACAAAATGATCACAAAAGTTCCACCGTAAGTAGTTACAAAATTTCCTCCAGTCGCATTGCACAGCCGAGGAATTCTGGGTATAAAACATCATCAACTGTACAATACGTTTGTTGGAACGTTCTGCATGTCGTAAGATGCGTTAAATATTTTCGTGCAGTGTGACAATGGTACGAGCTAATCATTTTTGCGACAACTATAAAATTCATTCAAAACACGAAAAGCTTTTGTACGTTTGAATATTTAGCGGTTCATGTTTTCACCGAGATTTCTCTTATCACTGATACCCAGTAGCCAAGTGTTGCGAGTCTGGTCACATTAAAGTACTTGTGCTTGCATTTACACATGCATGCACATTCGGCCCCGAGCAAAGATAAATCGCGCGTCGGTGTGCATTCGTCTAGTAGGTAAGTAGAGTGTCGCAATCATAGAAGTGAGAAATCTGTCGTTAAAGCAACGAGCGCTGGGCACGCACTGTGAAGGCACACGAATGTACATTATACATCTTTATTGTTAGTCATAACTTATGCCAATGGTACAAGCACATACTGTTATCGAAAATATTTAAATGTTCTACGCAGGAAAGAGGGGATTGATCTAGACTTCAGTCGAATATACGGAAACGTGTAATACTGCATGCCTTTTCCAGAGAACACGTACAATTCATACATCAACCGTACTAGATACCCATTGCATATTTTTTTAAATAATACTTTAAGTTTGAAAAATTGTTCTACTTCATTCAATATCCTTTTTCGGCAGATTTGTTGCAACAGTATACAGGGCGTCTCAGCTAAGACTGAATATCAGAAATGTTTCAAGTACAGTTTGAATCGTTGCAAAAGGGGAGTATCGTAAATAGAATTTTGTTTCTATGATCATTTCTTTCGAATTTTTTTAAGGTCGCCATACTTTTTTTTATTGCATTTTATAGCACGTGTTGAAATGCATTCATATGTGTAATTTACGACGTTGAAGTGAAGTTGAACATTTAAAGAATACTGAAATTCTGAGACGATGTTAGAGTGGTGAGTGAACTTACTTTTTATATTACAAATAGCCAAAGTGATGTTCACCAGTGGCGACACACTGTCTAAAAGGAGGAATCGTGGATTGTGGTACTCTTTCAATTGGTTCTGATAGTAGCACAAGCTGTAATTATGCGATTCTTCGTGTCTTCCGGACTGGTAGATTATTATTGTTGTTAGACACTGAATATATCGAGTTGTGTTCATCAACATACTACAGATAGGTCTATTCCGTAGCTTATTAGGAAGAGAATTCGTAAGCGTTTCACGATGAAGTGCGACGAGCGATTTTCGTTTACGATGAAGCTGCACAGGGTTTTAGAGAAGCTGTATGAATGTACAGAGAACGATTTCTCGATCGTGATACCAAAAAAATGTTAGAAATCTCAAACTGTAGCGCGCGCAGCAAATAAGCAGAAAGTTGTTGCTGTGATTAATCAAAGTGTGCACGTCGGTCTAAGCCAAATAGAGCGAGCAATTAGGATTAGTAAAGGAAGCATGGGCTTTATGCTTAAAGTACAAAAAAATTCATCCGTTACACTTGCCGCTTCATCGAGAGCTTTACGGCAGAGCTTCTGAAAACCGCGTCTTGTTTTGTCGATGGCCGTTACACCTGTTTGAGAATGATGAAAGATTCTTCAGAAAAGTACTGTTTACCGATGGAGCATCTTTCGCCAACGATGGGCAAGTGAATCTTAGAAAGATACGTTATTTTTCCGTAGAAAATCCTCGGTGGATAGATGAGCAAAGACCGTGGACAGTAAATATTTTGGCGTGGCATTTTAAATAAGAAAAAAAATATGCAAGATTCTTATCGGACGATATAGATGTATCATTAAGTGTTTGTGAGACTATGTGGTACTAACGTGACGGTTGTCTAGCTCATTATACACGGGAAGCTACTCAAGTACTTAATTGAAAATTCCCAAATTGTTAGATTGGACGTAATGGTCGTACATCACGACCAGCACGTTCACCGGACCTAACGCCGTTAGGCTTTTTTCTTTGGGGAATGGTAAGAGAAGGCGTTTACCGACAGCAACATACGACTCCGGAAGACACGAAGAATCAGATAATTACAGCTTGTCCTACTAACACGTCAGAAGCAATTGAAAGAGTACCACAATCCACGATTCCTCCTTTCAGACAGTGTGTCGCCACTGGTGAACATCACTTCGAGCATTTGTAACACAAAAATCAAGTTCACGTACCACCCTGACGTTTTCTCAGAATTTCGTTGTTCTTTCAATGGTCAAGGTCACC